GCCATTTGCTAGCTGATCTGCTATCGAAGGTCTAACAAATAAACAAAGTCGGTTTGTTTCTGAGTTCGTTATAGATTGACACGTCTCTAGTTACTGAGCCCTCCCGCTAAGAGAGCGAAATAGTTTGACTTGTTTTTCTTCGTTATAATAGCCACTCGAGGTTCAACGGCAAAATAATTTAAGTGCAAATCGTGCGCATACGTTAGACACTAAGTCTTCGTCAACAGTTCTTTAAACGTTTCCGTAACGAACCTTTCCAATTAGTTTCAAACTCCTGAAAAGGTTCTCTCAGCACCAAAACAGTTCAACAACTTCTATAAACAATTTCCGAGATTTCGCCGTCTTCCTCCCCGTATAATTGTTTACGCTGGAATCGGTAACTTGTTGCACGTTCAGCGGTCGCAAACATGCCGTGACGGCGGTCGTTCACATGCATGAACATAGCATTCGCGAAAAAAACGTTAGATACCTATAGCGGATACCGACGTAATCACTTATAAAAAACATTGTGACGTAACCATGTCCCGTGACGTCACGTATATGTACATCATATTATGCATTCATATTATGTCAGTGTTAGTATGCAAAAATCGGATTGAAGTTTTTGACACTATTACTAGATCATCACCATAAAAGCGAATTGATCGATCCTCATCAACATCAAGACGATACATGGTCAGCAGAAGATTTAAAACTAAATACGTATACATGATCTCTCTCTCTCTCTCTCTCTCTCTCTTCCTCTCTCTCCTCTCTCTCTCCTCGTCTCTCTCTCTCCTCTCTCCTCTTCTCTCTCTTCGTCTTCTCTCTCTCTCTCTCTCTCTCTGTATAATATATATATATATATATATATATATATACATATATATATAGAAAGAAAATACGGATAAATACATGCGGATATATATAAATACGTGAGATTTTCCTCAGCAATAATAATATTGACGTTAGATGGACGACAGATTTGCTGGAATTTGGGCAACACCATATAGTGTCACGGCGATGATAGTTATATAGCAATCGATGGTAAATTCATACGGCGTAATCAAATATGCTGAACCTGGCGAAATGCGTCATGCAATACGCGCGGCACTATATGCGGCTCTCGGCGCTGGATTAGCGTTGATGAAAGTCGACCATATCGTTTACGCAATTCCAAACATATTTTCGATGCAACCTGCCACCTACGTGATCTATGGCAGGGTGTGCGTAAGATATCTGCACGATACATCCCAGCCGTCGCCACCTATCATTCTCACCGCCAATTTCTGATGACGGTCAATGATGGCCGAAACACACCCTTAACCGCCGAAGTATATTACATATAACCTACGCAGCTATAGCTATGATCGGCCAGCTCCGGGGTTTATGGGCGTTTCCGCCAGCCTTTACGTTGTTACGTTTTTTCACGGAAACCGACTATCGCAGATTTTCAAGTTCATCGGGTACTTTATATCGAAATTCTGATGTTTTAGGTTACCTGGGGAGTTAAATTAAATTGTATTCTGATCTAGGATTAATTCGGAATATTCGAATATTCTGAATTCGACCCAGTCAAGTGTAACAAACGAGAAATCGGACAGGCGAGACAGACGGCAGCGTACGGAATTGTGGAGCTACGGCGAGTGTTGTTATGCCAATAATACCATATTCACCAGCTATGTAACAAGATCGGTTGTTAGAAAGATTGCTTAGTACTAGTTTAAGCACTTCTGCTATTAGCCTGCACAGTATGAAGGCTACATGTCACCTTCGCGCACACCAGCTAGTCAGTGATTACTATCCTCATGTTGTTACAGATCGCTGTTCACACAACCTTCGCAACAAGATGTCCGCCAGTTTAACGCTGAGCCCGTGCACATCGGATTCGTGTCTTCTCACGATCATACGGTGTCCGGATGGACAATAGCTGACCAGCCGGACACACACACATCATAACAGCTAAACACGTAGAGAAAAGCGAAGCCTACCCTGACATGGCTGTGTATCAGTCGTGCATCCCTTCCAAACACGTGCACACGATGGCTTCCTGCGCGAGTAGCTACCACCTTAGTTCCTGCTGGCTACAGAGGCAAGCTCAAGTGCAATGCCCCATGCAACAGCTCGCGGGCAGTGTCTGTCGCTTGTCGGCAATCAGAAGCTCGCACCGCCTGCGACCAATTAGCATCCAGAGAAAGGAGCTGCGCGTATCCTACACGACGTGTGTGCGGTGTGCAATGATACAGACGGCGTTCTCAGGAGGAGGCCGACGGTTGCAGAAGAGCAGCGGCAGCGAGACGGTCCAGCACGCACGCAGCAGACTCGCTAACGAACAGGCAGCAGACAGAGTGATGCTTGCAGGCGTGTCTCCGTGTGTAAGCGCGGTTATATGGGGCCACTCACGCGTAGGGAGCCGGTGGGAAGTTGAAGAAGAAGGAAAGACTCGTCTCGCCGCTTCTATCAGCGCTCCGATCACGCCCGCTAGCGAAGACTGCACCGCCACGCGCGCGCGCATTAAGTAGCGATATCTCCGTTAAATATCCTGAAACATAATCCAAGACATCGGCGCAGCCGGAGCCGGATTCACGAGAGGCTATAATTAGCGGATGGAACCTGCCGCCTATTTTTAGCAACGGCAGCAGCAGCAGCTTTTCAGTGCGCGCGCGAACAGCAAGTATTAAACAACCAGTCACTTTCAGCGCTGTCGGCCAGTGCGCGCGTGGGTACACGTGCAGCATGGGCCATCAGCGCAAACTGATCAAGGATGAAGCCAAACACCAAAATTCAACTAACTCGACACTTCGGTAGGTTATACCGCGGCGCGCGCGTGCAGAGGGAGATAGAGAGGAAATGTTAATCGGCATGTGCGACGCGCGTCGTCCGGGGTGGTAACCCGACCTCTTGTTTACTCGTGTACGAGGCCGCAAAAAGGCGCGGACTACACACGAACGTTACTGTTCGGGGGGCACTTGCGGACGGAAGACATGCGGGTGGGTCCGCGTGCCGCAGCATCTGCACGCGTCTATGTGAAACACGTGTTGGGCAGAGAATGAGGATGTGTCTATACACTCTCAGATGAGCCACTAGCTAATGATCCTCATACGCGCGTCGTCAAAGCAATCAAAATGAAGCCGTTGCTTCTCTTACTCCACTCTAACGTTCACACTACAACAGAACAATCGGGTACACATAGTAGCGAAAATAAAGCTGTAGTGTCTGACAGAGAGAGGGAGGAAGCGAGAGAGCGCGTGTGTGAGACAGCGTGAGTAAGCGAGATAGAGATAGATAGAGAGAGAGAGAGAACGTGCAAGCGCGGGAGTGAGAGGAAGAAAGAGAGAGAGAGAGAGTAGAGATAGAGATAGAAGAAGCAGAACGAGAGTGAGAGGAAGAAAGAGAGAGAGAGAGAGAGTAGAGATAGAGATAGAAGAAGAAGAACGAGAGTAAAAAGAAAAAGAGGGTGACTGCGTGTGAGAGACAGGAAGGAAGTGAGAAAAAGTTTCCGCACATCTGTAATTAAAATAAACACTACATCGTCATCAATATCTACATTTATTATGTATTGCCTAATCGACATCACATCATATCTGGAGTTAGACAGCAAGGGTATTTATTATTATCTCACTACTGATTAAATAGGTTTTATTCGTGACAAATGCTCAAAACATCTTGCCACAAAAAATCGAGTACTCGTGCTGGATCTAAGCGAGCATCCTACAGTTTTGTCATTAAACAAACGCTATATCTATCCTGTAATCGTATATCTACGCGCATAATATCGCATCTAGTTTTTATCAGCGTAAAACATTCAAAACAGCCTACTAAGACGTAATACTCATTTGGCTGTCAACACCAACACAAGTCGTTAGAGAACCGAGTCTATACATTCCGAAACAGGTGGAGTGGAATACCGCGTGCTTTCGTTTTTACGAGCATGTTTTTTAAGAACGGGTAGCGGGTAACGGGTAAGGCAAAGAGGCATAGACGCCGAAACACGTCAGTCGAATCTGACTTAATCTTAATTTCTGTGTCTAGAATACACTAATCCTGCGACTGTGGCGTCTCGTCTTTCTGCGCGTTTGTACAACATTATTCAATTTGCACTCGAGCTAAATACGCAAGAAAGGTCTTCAGTCTGAAGCGTTGCAAGAAAAGACACTCAGATTATTGTGAACGTGTTTTTTTACCGGCGGACGAATGAACATGGCGAATAAAAACCAGCTTCGTTGTCGATCAACTCACGGGCAGTTCCAGTGAATTCCTGTGTAAATCGTCGTATGACTACAATCTTGTTTATAATTATAGATACACGTTGAATCTCGCTTATCTTACAAGCAACAGGCGCTGAGTTCTTGGCATCGCAATTATTGTAGATCGTTGGTTCCCAACCGGGGGTACTAGTACCCCATGGGGGTACCAGCGAACACCACAGGGGGTACCTGGGAAGCCTCTTAGGCAATTTAAGAAAGTAGTGCTATATGATAATCAGCGGGTGATTCAGGCATCTCTATCAACAGTGCCAACAAGTCATGGTTTTCGGTCGAGGTCTAGTCCCCAGTCCACAAAAATCGTGTAAAACCCGCCGCACACGCTGTGGAACTGGCGTGTGCACATGCAAAATCTCTCGATCTGCGTCGTGTGGAAAATATCACACGTGTTTGATATTTTCTTCCACGTGTGGAAGATTGAACAGGGTGTGCGAGTGGCCGTGTAAATTTCCACACTCAATTAGCATTGTTCGCTTGATTGTTCGCTTGGACGCATTGGTTTTTTTTCACAGCTTGCAGCTAGCAGCTCGCATATAAGGCATGTCCAATAGAAAGGCATGTCAAAGAACTGATCGATCAAACGTCGTGTGAACGCTCTCTTCAATGACACTCTCTGTCTAAGCAAACAATCAAGAACAATGCGAATTGAGTGTGGAAATTTACACAGCCACTCGACGCCGTGCGACTGCATTAATAAAACATAAACGATGTCAAAATATTTATGACATTACATCAGTGTTGGTTCTTCATTTTGCTTGGTGGGCGAAAGGGTACCAGGAGATAGCGTAAAAAAATTAGGGGTACGGGGAGTCTAAAAGGTTGGTAACCACTGTAAAATGTAGATTCTCGCGATCATAAAGTGCGAAATGATCCTATATTAACCTAACATCAACTTGTACGACCTGTCTCTATCTTTTTGACACTCAGCCACTTGTACCGCCCATTTTCGACATTCTTAAATTTCGATTAGTCGCAAATAGATAAAAAGAAATAGAATGGTACAGTTTCAAACATTTATGGAGGCGAATTAACGCATTTACTAAAGGATTTGATCAAGCCTCTTTTCAACTGTACTTACTGTATAACAAATCGTCTATACCCACACGTATTTGTTACCAGATACCTAATTTAATTAAGTGGAGAAGGAGGAGGGGAGAAGCTGGTGGAGAAGGAGGAGGGGGAGAAGCTGGTGGAGAATGAGGAAGGGGAGAAGGGAGAAGCAGATGGAGAAGGAAGAGGGGAGAAGCTGGTGGAGAAGGAGGAGGGGAGAAGCTGGTGGAGAAGGAGGAAGGGGAGAAGGGAGAAGGTGGTGGAGAAGGAGGAGGGGAGAAGCTGGCGGAGAAGGAGGAGGGGAGAAGGTGGTGGAGGAGGGAGAGAAGCTGGTGGAGAAGAAGGAGGGGAGAGGCTTCACACTTCTGCACGTGAGATCGCTATGCGATACAGCTGGAAGTCACGTCACGAATACGCGATTACATCTGATTGGTTAACACAAACCACGTGACAAAATATGCAAATTATCTCCTGTACCGGCCTGAATATAGACAAACCCGTACTGATCACGGACGCACATGGACAGCCCTGACAAAAAGTTCCTTATCACGAGCGACCGTGTTTACGAAATCACTGATGATAGCATTGCGTACGGCCGAGCATGCGTGCGAAAATGTCCGGTGCACTATAAATATGTATCACACCCGCTTCGCCGGCCGCGGTTTGAAACTGTAAACAACTGATTTCTTGGAGTGCAGATTTCAATTAGACATTTTTTGGTAACCAGCAGTGATATTGGACAAACTAATACGCGTTTGGATGTAAGGTTATGTACTTATTAACTACACAAGGTGCCAGTTACTCTAGCATTCGTCAACATTGCATAATCAATGGGCCTAGTATGCCTTTAATGGCTGCCTGTTGCGTAAAATTCTAGCCGATGTTTACATATGTTCGATTTTAGGAAAATTTAAAGAATGTGGTTTCCATGTGGCCACCATCTGTGGGAATAGACGTCGTTTCTTTTATTGAATTTTGCGCGTTTCCTACTCTGGTGCCAAGGTCAGGAGCATTGAACCAAACTGACACCACCTTCATTTCATATAGCTCCTTTATCGATCGGCTCTCTCGCTCATTTGCCCTGTCTTCTCTTTCTCTCTCTCTCTCTCTCTCTCTCTCTCTCTCTCTTCCTCTCTTTCTCTCTCTCTCCCTCTCTAGAAGAGCGAGAGGACTCTCTCTTTTTCTTGTCCTTCTGTCTATGAGTTATACATCGTTGGTGAACCAATCCTTGACCAGGTCCGTATAGTCACGTATCGACCTCATCACAGGTCGATAACCGTTTTATTATATGGTTAATAAAGAAATAAAAAACAAATTGAATGTGTTAGTCAATAATTTAATAATACATTTAATAAATAAACATCTAGTTGTACGAAGGGTGTTGGTAGCGCGTCTTGGTTAAAAATGCTGCTTGCCTATCCTTCTCCCACCACACCAACCCGTCACATGGGGATGGGTCAGTGCGGTCACGTTGGGGGACGTTGCGGGGCGGGGGGGCTGAAGATGCTTGGCCCTGTGTATCCATATATAACTTCACAAGTCGACTGGCGTCGCTACCTACCCCATGCGGTCATCGTCGCAGCTATTAATAGAGTTTATCGTCTGTGTTGAGCCGGCAGGGAAGATGCTACTGTCGCGGCTGCTGCTGCTGCTGATGATGATGATGATGATGATGATGATGATGGTGGTGGTGGTAATGCGAACAACAGCGTGTGTCACAGCGGGTGTCATAGTGGAGCCACACGTTACAACACGTTGTCACATCAGTGGTGCCACGTTACTATACAGTCACGCGTGTCGGGGGTGCAGCTGGGCTAGGCTATAGAAGTTGGGTTATCAGTCACTATAATACGATGATATCAGGAGTAGATAATAGGGAATTATCTATTATCTACTCCTGATGATATGTATGACCAAAAGCTATTAGGTACCATAATGTACCATGACGTACCATGATGACCATGAGGCACCATGATGAATGACCATGGGGATCATTTTTATCCATCGTTATGCTTGTGAAAGCACGATACGAAAACTTCACGCGCCTTAATCACTAATTAACAATTAGAAAGCGTAAACGAGTAACGCAATGGCTCATCATCTCACTTGACTATGACTACTTTACTAACTTGGCGGTTACAATGACTTTATTGCTATCTCAATGATTTGTATAATCAACTGACAGCTGCTATAATCAACTACGGAAGTGCTTCGCGTATCTCTAACATGCCAGACAAGTGAGCATTCGCGGACATCGTCGAGACGTAACCGCGCGTTTCGAGTTTACATTGCGACTGACTATCAAGTCTGAGCGCGCCAGTATTTTGATGGGCCGACGGCGTCCGTGTTTGCTGCGAGAATCGCTGACTGTATATTACTGGCCGCGTCTCCATCAGTGAGAAGATTTAAGCATCTGCCATCGTCGGCATTACAGACCATTAGCACGGGGCGCTGGGCTATAATGGGACCACTTCCCCCTGCCGCGCCGTCCGCGTGAATGATTGTAAACGCATTGCGGCCGCACGCGGCACACTAATAAACATAGACTAACTAGCCTGACTATATATATAGAGTTTGCGCATATACATGTATATATATATATATATAGCTGGAAAGTGGTTTTGCGCAACTTATCAGATCGTGCGCTTTGAGTGGCGCCACCGTCGTTGTAATCAAACTGTAGTCGTTAGTTTTAAAACATTTTTTTAATAATATTTCTAATGGTGATTGAACCATGAAACTTTTTATGTAGCGTAATTATAACCTAAATTAGCTGAAAATAACCCTAGAACCTAGAGTAAACTCTCACTTTAAGAGGTCGAGCTCAGGCTTCCAGCGCTGGCGTGCAAGAACGTCCATATTTCACACTGTTTAAAGCATCGTTTGGACATGAACTCGTGAAGCGGAAGCGTTGAGTCTCTGTATCCGTTATTTTTATCACATGATTAGGTGGGTACTGCAGTTTCCTAAGAATCTTCCGCTGTTTACTCAAATTTCGTAATCGTTGAATCGATTCTAATCGTGTGTTTATTAATGGATTCTTCGCTGATGTATGAGGTTTACAACGTATACCGTCTTATGTTGGTAATATTCACACATGTGAGTTTTGAGGATACTTTCAAAAAGGATAGGAAACTTTAACAGACGTATTTAAATTACCAAGTAGACACGTCTTATTAAAAACAAATAATTTAAAAGTTAGTCTAAGCGCGTATATCTGACTACCTATGCCTTAGTAGTCAGCGGTGTAATCTTTGTGCGTAGGAGCCCACGGGCGGTAGGCCTTAATAGAGATGCTTGTATTTATTTGTGCTTTAATAGGGATGCTTGTATATATTTGTGCCATTATAAAATTTATCCGTGGCGCATTGCCAACATCGCCGTACTCTACATATCGCTATTCCATGCAAACTAAAAATGTATGACGAACACCGGACCGACCTGGAAAATGCCATCATATAAGTGGTAAACGGATATCGCACCTTATTATGTTTATTTCGTAAACTACGTGCCGAGCTGACTATTCTAGTGGCAAGTATATAAAAGCAACCTTTCTAACGTAGTAGTATCGCGTTGGCCTTGCTTCGAAAAAATCCCAAACGCCAAGAATGTTTGTCGAGCCGGTGCTCACAGTCGACACAGATTTTGTTAGGAAAACAAGCGGAATGATAGAGATGGGTATAGATAACACAGCAGTCAAACGCAGATGATCCTCTAGAAGCCGACACTCGAACACCCGTAGCGTGAGAGAGCTTTACCTCGACCCATTTTCGACCGCAGCCGATTCCAATCGCAGTTCTATTTGCAGGCTCGGCAATTGCCGTGTAAGGATGTGATATTAGGAACTGATATGACAACGCAGAGGTTAAACTCGCGCGACAACTAAGGATTTTCGTATTATTAACCAAAATATTTTGCAAGGAGTACAGTCGGGGGTTTCTGATAGTGTGGCGGAATGACCACTGTGAGTTCATTTCAATATAAAGGAGACGTTCTCACGGCAACGCGTTGCTAAAAACGGCATCGCTAACGTGCCAAGTCACCCTTCTGTTATTCTTGCTGCCCCGCGATGGTTAAAACATCTCATGGCTATGTGTAGGACCTACATAGACAAAACTCCACGCGGGTCTACGCTTGCTCGTAGATATAGCTGCTAACAAAGTATATTATTTTATTATGCTATCTGTGAGCGACATGTCTACACACTCTTTACCTATCACACATCTCTCTCGAGCTTTACTGCCGCCATGACAACCACGCTTGTCATCCGCTCTCAGTGGGTGCTAAATAGCATTGAATCAGAGCAGAAGATTTTTACCTCCGGCCAGGGGCTTGGCGGAGGTTATGTTTTCACCGGCGTGTCTTTGAGTGTTGGTTTGTGTGTTTGTGTGTTACCATGCACGTTTCAGTTCACTTCCGCTAGGTGCGCTGGCTGTAGACTTACAAAAACGCAACCACAGTCCTCCCCCACCTGCACGCTCGCACTAATCCGGAAACAATTAATTATTTAATTAATTAATTAATTAATTAATTTTTTTACTTAATTAATTAATTAATAAAAAATTTCACATTCAGCTGCCTTGGCGGAGGTCTGTGCTCTCCGAGTGCTCTAGTTTTAACATATATTGAACTTTTTTTACCGTTTTGTTTTTGGACTCCTGTATTTTTAGTATGCAGTTAAGAACGTCAAATTGCCCGAACGAACGGTTAAAAGTGTAGACGCTTGAACACGGCAACATCTGTTCTGAGAGTCCACCAACAGCAGTTTCATTTCTATCGAGTCGTATAGTAGGTCTATAACTAAATGCCGTAACATACATGCATGAAAGGGGGCATTGCAGTTATTATATATTGTGCCTAGACGCCTGGCACAGTACGGCGGAATTTAATTCATCTGAACTTCGGCTATGTAGTTGATAAAAGAAACAAGTCTGCGAGCGTTAAATAATCGATCTCGAGTGAACAAACATAAATTCTATCGCGGAATCTACGCCGAAAAATAACTCGGCAATGTTTGTGAGAGATTTCTCCCCGCATATGGTCGCCCTCGGGCACGGCACTTTATCCCAACTTGCTTTTCAGTCGACACCTGCTGTACAAATAGGTTTAGACTTTAGAGCGAGGCGGCAGCGTCGGGTTTACAACCTCACGCCGTAAGAGAGGCGGCTTTCCTGAGCAAAGCCTGTTGAGGAAACCAAAGCTCCTTGTGGGTGGTGCTAGTAGGGTATAGCGCGACGCGTGAAATTGCCGTATATTTTAACCTTTGCGCAGTGGCAAGGTTAGGGGGCCAAAGGGGGCCATGGCCCCCCTGTTGATCCGAACGTTAAAAAATATATTTAAAAATAAGAATTGTTGTACTAAAATGATAATTGTCGTAGTCAGAATGAAGGCTGTACATGTACTCAAAAGTGCCTCAAATAGCATCAACTGCGATCTACATTTTTAAAAATTTCTGGGGGAGGACCCCCACACCGGCCCCCGCCTGTTTTAACCCCCTCCCTCCTTGGAATTCTGGATCAGCCTCTGAATAGTTACACATCTTGTGAGCAGAGAACAACGAACAAAAATGTCGCCTTTTTTCATGGCGCCCAAAACAAAGATTGCAGAGCTGAGAGGTGGGGGAGCGTAGGGTGTGGAGAGGGAGGCGGAGGAACCATTAAAATATTAAGTCATCCACTATTTTGCGCAGTTCGCTGTTTTTGGCCCCCCTGTTAAAAAATCCTGGCTACGCCATTGCCTTTGCGTAAAAAACGTCTTTTATCGCAGTCGTGCAGTCGCGATTTCTCTCCTGGCGCGAGTCGTAATGTTTCTTCGGATATTGACGTAAGCGCGAAATAGAGTTGGTTTTTACTTACTGCGTTGAATTTTTTCTTACTGCGTGAGATTTTTAATCGTCCCGGTTTACAGCTTATTTTAGTAGTTTAATTAACTGTAAGTACTTCAAGTAAGTAATTCAGTGAGAAAAGTGGAAGTATTTACTAAGAACTGACAAAATCTTAAACTATTTACGATATATATATA